GTTTAAAGATGATCTCAGGGCAATAGTTTTGTGAGTTCATCTAGCCTCATTGGATCCAGAAAATATGTATTCCATTGAGCTTTGAAATTTTGTTCTGCATTTTTCCGCCTTTTGATCAGGATTCTGCTATAGAAACAGGTAAGAATTTAATATACCTGTAAATAAAACTGACAATCTTTTTTGTGTTTTTTAAGGTTGCCTACAAGCAAAAACATGATGCTGCCAAGGGATTCTCAGATTATGCCCACATGAAGGAGCCGCCTGAAGTCAAACATGCCATGGAGGTCAATAAACACCAGAGCAACGTAAGGAAGCTCATTCACCATAGTTTTCTTAAAAATTTTTAGTTAACCCACATCAGAGCTTACGAATATTTTGTTCAAATTTAAATATTACGGCAACATATATTCAAAAAGGAAATTTTAAATTTCTTTTGTTTTTATTTCTCATTGTTCACAGGTACATATGAGCTATTCTGTCAAAAGTCCTCAAAACCTCATTGAATGCCTTTTTAAAATGTCAGGCACTTTCACACATTGAAAATTCTGCTTTGGACAAGACACATATGGATCTTTTAAACCGATAGAGTTACTAGCATTTCCTAGCGCTTCCTTGACTTGATGCTGAATTCACATGGTTTTCAGTCTAGAATTGCACAAGAACTGGGGAAACAAAATACCCAAAACACACATTGGACTCAGTGTCCCAGGGAAGAAGACAAACTCCATCACTGTTTCTTTTGGATTTCTGTGGGGAGCAAATTGGCAAACTTCTTAGACCCGTGGGGAATATGAAAGCAATAGATATCTAATGGCTGACCTAGAAGCAGAAGACTAGAGGGAGGAAGTTGCCCTGTTGAAAATTCAGTTCTTCTTTGGTTGTAAGTTAGCAGCTACATCAACCCTTCCATGCATTTGCTCAATTGCCACTATCCTGATGGCCTACAAGAATAATTTCTTCCTGAAATCCAAGGAGAAGCTTATTTGTCTCCTCATCATGCATTCTCTGCTCTCCGAAAGAATGTATGAACAGTTTGTCAGGTTCTTCATGGATTAGGTTACATTAAGATAAAGTCCTAGTTGGGTCAAGAAATCCTTTCTTTGGAAAGTATCTTGAAACATCCTTGTCATCTGACACAGAGCCTGTCCCTATCACTCATTCTCTTACCGAATGGGGCTTTTGCTGGCTCTGCACCCCCAGAGCCCACCCAGCTGTGCTGAGGTCTGCACCAGCATCTCTTTGCAGGTTGACAACAGCTATTTGATGTTAAATTGCAATAGGTCAGTGTTTAATAAAAGCTGAGTGAGGTTTTACGTTCTAACCCAAATGTATAAACATATGGCAATGCCAAAGCACTTTTCTAGGATGGTTTAAGATTGATAAGAGA